GTCGAGCTTCGCTGGTAATGTTTTTAGTGACCAATATGACTGGAGATTTGATCATTTCATTATTGACGGAGATCAGATGATGGATCCATGTTTTTGTTTAAGATTTTCTCAAATTGCAATATGATAAAGAATTTAAAATAGCAGACAAACGAGGTGGATAAAAAAGACTACTGTCATCAGGTATACGAAATTGTGATCAAAACTCGAATTACTGGTCATCTTCCCAAATTCAAGTATTTTTTTTTTTTGGAATCGGAATCACCCAGGCAAAGCAGTAATGCTACTAAAACACAACGGGTTACATGCTGTGGAAGAATTAGGAACAGAAACATTAATGATGTGCAGAAAGAGAAGAGAGTAAACAGGTGAACAATAGACAGCAATTGATATTGCATTTAAATTTCTGCGGTTGGCTAGAAAACATGGGGCAGGAGTTCCACAAGCGAGAAGTGCGAGAGAAGAAACTGTTAGCATAGAACTTACGGTTAAAACTAGCCAGTTCAGCTGTAAATTGGTGAGATCTCGACGCCAGTTTAGTGCTGCGTTTAAATTGAAAAACTCTAGGTACCACAGCGAAAAGTTCATTCGAACAGTTACCATGAAAATATTTATAGAAAAGGCGTGGGGAGGCATCCTCGCGACGGTGTGAAGTGACTGAAGCCGAGCCACCAGATCAGGACTGATAATATTGCTGATTCTTCTTTGGATCTTATAAAGGAGCTCAAGGTAAATAGCAGGGACAGCGGACCATACGTGGTAGCAATATTCTAAGCATTGAAAATGATAAACTTAAAGATAGGTTTGTTTGTTTAACGGCATATGAATTAATTATGGGTCATTTAATGCCGAAATTTTATTCTCGTGTGAGCTTCATTAATTCCCAAAATGTATTACTGGTAATCTTTTGTAATGTAATTTTATATTTCCATGGTTTGACCCTAGTTCTGGTGTTCACTATTTTCCATAGCTAGGACCCTGACAGATGCTACCACGCTTTCTCAAAATGAACCCGAGAAAAACAGCACTTAAGAGGTCGTTCCACGCTCCACAAAGAATCTCGATCAGACGCCATGCTGCCGGATGAAGTTTATCATCATACCATACACAGGACTATTCATGTTTTGCAAAAACAGTGTTCTCCAGAACGAATCACACATTAAAAAAAATAACACATTGTCTTAGTGTTACGGAAAAAGGATACATATTTCTCTAAATATTTACATTATTCGGACTGTTATCCTCGTCTTCATCGCCATATTCACAACGTTTCAGTCGTTGTACGCTCCGGCCTTTAAGTCTATGTCTCTCTTTATATTTGTCTATATCTCTGAGATGAGGTAGTATGATTACTTGCATTATTTACATTATTCGGACTGTTATCCTCATCTTCATTGCCATATTCACAACGTTTCGGCCGTTGTACGCTCCGGCCTTTAAGTCTATGTCTCTCTATATATCTGTCTATATCTCTGAGATGAGGTAACATGATTACTTGCATTATTTACATTATTCGGACTGCAATCCTCATCTTCATTGCCATATTCACAACGTTTAGGTCGTTGCACGCTCCAGACTTTAAATTATTTCGCAAAAAGTGGAATATATGTCTATATCTCTGAGCTGAGGTATTAGGTTGGTGCAAAAATAATGACGTAAGCATGTCGTTTTTTGACGTTAAAAAATACGTCAAAAAACGACATTATTATGTCATTATTTTTGCACCAACCTAATATTATGATTACTTGCATTATTTACATTATTCGGACTGTTAGCCTCATCTTCATTGCCATATTCACAATATTTCGGCCCCTGTACGGACCGGCCTTTATGTCTATGTCTCTCTATATATCTGTCTATATCTCTGAGATGACGTATCATGACAATCATAATACCACATTTCAGGGATATAAGCAGATACTTCTCTGAATTACAAAAACTTTCTTCAATGGTTTTCGCTCTCGTAAAAAGTATATGAAGCTAAGGGAAATCATTGAATAGATTCCGCTTTTTACTTATTTTTCTCCTAATCTGTTGTAATCTGTCTGTTATAATCCGCACATGTAAATGAGTATCCATAGAAACGAAGTTCTGCTTTCATTTATTTTCGTTTCGAGATAAAACTTAAATATAATTTAAAGACCATTTAAAACCGTTAATTCTGAAATTATTGATCGGTGGGCGGTTCTTGATTCGCAGTATTTTCAAAGAAGGTGTTACACAGAAAAAAAAACATCGCCTGGTTCTGCCCTAGGTAATATTTTATGGAAAATACATTTTATTCATAAATATTAAAACTAGAATGACGATTTGAAATCATCGACTTTACTGAGGAAATAAATTAAAAGTAAGAATTATTTAAAATAAAAGACAGATATTCTTAAGAAATAATCCATATTTCGACCAAAACATTCATGTAACTGGAATGCTATCTATTTGCCCAGAATATATATATACGTACATATATATATATATATATATATATATATATATATATATATATATATATATGGTGCGATGGCTAAATTGTCGTTTAAATTTCGCAAAAACTAAAATAATATGACATCTCATTTTAATAGATATATTTATCAAAATTACACAAAAATATCTGGAATTACTAGAGTAAATATATTCAATAAAATCACCATTGTCTTCAATCACGTCCTCCAGATGACTTCGGCATCTCATGGCGACAATTTAGTTATCGCACCGTCTACTACTACCGCAACAAATAATAATAATAATAATAATAATAGTAAATACCCTGATGATATACTAGGCATCGCTTCCACTTGATCTGATGTGTATCTGGTGTTATCTTGGTCGATTTTCAAGGTTGAAGCTTACTAACCAGCAAAATACGTGCATCTCTGCTCATGAGCGTGAGAAGTCGGGGAGTAATTACCGGCTTCGATTATTCTATATATATAATATAATGCATTATTATATACAGGGTGTCCATAAAGTTTGTGTGCACTTTAAATAATTTATAACTTATTTATGCACATGAACTTTATGGACACTCTGTATATATAATGCATTTCATCTCAGATTTTTAGACAACTGACTAAAATGAAATTTCAAGTCTAAATATTATAAATAATAATACTAATAATATTATTAATATCTAGAGTGACCTGTGGAAATTTCATGGGTGTTGACGGCAACAATTATCTCCCTACACGCAAGCCAGCAATCTGCCACTTGGTTGGATGGCACTAACGTTTACCGCTTGCAGCCCGCTGTCGGGCCACCGGCTAGTTCGTCTCGGCAATGTCACCATTGGCGGACCGCTAGAGGCTCACTGATGACCCGTCGATGATCTACCGGTGGCTGCCAACAGCGGAACGCTGACATTGCTATCGGCGGCCCACCAGCGGGCCACTAGCAGCTTGCATGTAGGTTCGCTTTCTACGGATTATTAACACTTTGCGTGTTATTTAAACCCAGAAAACATATAATGCGATAATGATGGTTAAGTGACAAAAAAATCTTAGTAATTAACCCATAGCTGGAGGGAAGCAAAAATAGATTCATCACTTTTCCCAAAGTTATTTGCGTGCAAGTGAATATAACCCAACGAGAATTGGAACTCGGCTCTTCAAGTAACAATTCGGAGCCATTATCCATTACACCGCCCACGCATCCAAGTTTACGGCACTTGGTATTTCCAAGCGCACACCTTTGTTCAAATCTCTTGAGGTTTATATCTGCTAACATCATATCCGAAACTAAAATAAAATAATTTCTAAAAAAATCAGTTTTAAGTACGACTAATTTGTACCTATGGGCTCAAATATAAACTCCTCCAATGTTTACCTATTGCCTCATGTATAAAGAATAACACAAATATAATTTCGCCCAATGTGTACCTATAGACTCAAGTATAAACCCCTCCAATGATTACCTATAGACGCACGTATAAAGACAGCAAAGTTTTCCATATAGAATCAAATATAATCTCAAATTTAATTTCGAGTAATGTGTACCTATAAACTCAAATATAAACCCCTCCAATGTTTACCTATTGTCTCATGTATAAAGAATAACACAAATATAATTTCATCCAATGTGTACCTATAGACTCAAGTATAAACCCCACCAATGTTTCCCTATAGACTGATGCATAAAGACAACAAACGTCTGCATAAAGATTTAAATATTATAAACCAAATACAATCTCTGCCAATGTGTACCTATAAACTCAAGTATACATCCCCTCCAATGTTTTCAAAGTGACTCAAGTATAAAGCCTACAAATGTTTGCATATAGACTCAAATATAATCTCGACTAAATCGTAAGTATAAACAAACTCAATATTTAACTAGATATTTAAGTATGTATGAGGTTAAAAATTTCTTGATTGAAATGAGTTAACATGTGACGATACCATGTATAATCAACCAATAAATGCAAATTCATCAAATCACAAACATCCGGGCAGATAATAAATTCCGATCCTTGGCAAAAAATTAAAACAAAAACAAAAGTTAAATCTAACGGTCGTGCATAAAACAAATAAAATTATTTTATTACTCAAAGCAAACTGCTTATAAATAATGAAGTCGAAATATTCAACACGTACCTTAAAATAATCACATTGGAATCTCTTTAAATCTCTCGATTCCTTAGGGAACGTAGGGGCTCCTCATTATTTACATACTCTGTTTATGTTATCCAAAGGATTCGTAAGACTGAATTACAATTTTCGTCAAATTTCTTCACCATGTAAGGATGAGATTGTCCTGCCCACTTATCATTTTTTTAAGGGCATTTGTTATATCTCGTAATTCTTGGCTTACTTTCTGAAAGGCATCTTTCGAAGGTTTTATGGACCTTTCGATTTCTGCATCTACACAACTGACTCGAAATATACACACTTGCCGAATTCTGAAATCAGGACCGTGGAGCTAACACCTTGCGTTGTCGCTGACTGAAAAGCATGCACTTTATCTTTACAGTTAATGTTTGGTCCTTTTCTTTCTTTTAGTATCATTTATTTACGACCACACCGGTTTTCGTAAAATCACCGAAGCTAAGCAACGTCGAGTCCGGTCAGTAACTAGATGGGTGACCACTTCGGAATACTAGGTGCAGTAATATTAGATGTGCGAGAGGTTTCAGGTAGTTACAAGCATATCACGTTGAAATACCGATTTTCGTAAGATCACCGAAGTTAAGCACCATCGAGTGTGATCATTATCTAGATGGGTGATCACTTGGGACTACCAGGTCCGTAAAACTTGAATGTGTGGGTAGTGTAAGGGACAACGCCCCGAAATTTGAAATCGGAGAGCCGTGTGCCAATTGTAATCGTTAAATTTACTTTCGCGCAAATAGCCTTGGTATAGATAATCCACTATTCCCCGACCAGCTATGGTTTAATTAGTAGGTTCTGTGTAAGTAAATATTTATTATCTTCAAAACTTCTTAAACTCTAAAAAAAAAAATGGCTATAAGCGTTCTGGGATTGCAAAGGAAATATTTGTCGCAGATTACTTTCGCAACACAGAGAACAAATGACTGTAAGTTCAGACTCGAATACCGGGGGCAGAAAGAAATGCCGAAATCTCACAAATGGCACGTAACCAGTCAGAAAAATGACCCACTCTCCGACGAAAGCGAAAATGCACGAATTTTATTCCTTTTCTCCCGATTCCAGAACACCAGCTGCTTTTATCGGCCGAGCATTCTTCGACAACTGGGAGAGGACGCCCAACTTTAGCATATCAAAATACTTTTATAGCGACTCCTGCGACGGATTGTTTCTAATTTAAATATTCCTTACGTGCCCTTTTTTTGTACATTATTTACATTATTCGGACTATTGTCTTCATCTTTGTCTTTCGGCCGTTGTACACTGCGGCCTTCTTCAGGTGGTTAGAATGTCGGACTTAACGCTTTATTTCGCTCACTGGAGTAGACTGCTCTAGTTCCACATGCCATGTTATGGATGTCAGTTATCAGTTATCTCCTGTTAAATTCCCTCTGAAAGTTTTTCTACTGCCTTAAGCGAGTATTGAACTCACACACTTTGGATCCTGTCACCGGATCTAAACAACGCCTTTATCCATTGTGCCATGTGTCCTTGAGTGTCCTTGTGTTTAAATTTCTGGGTATTATAAACCTAATGTTTTCAGCAACCATTTTTACCAGAACTCATATTGCAACTTTTTTTGTTATTATCGCATTTCTCTGACACTCCTTATTACTGGTCCCCATATTGTATTTATTTCTATGCTTGGTCGGCTCAGGAGATTTTTGTGGCCTAGCTGATTCCTTAAGTTTACGAATTTTCAAATGGTGTTCCTTTTCTATGATCTCAACCTGATCCCACAGAGGGCGGTGATCTCCCTTCTCTCTCCATATGTGGTCAGCCACGCCTAATTTTTTCACTTCTCGTATTACAGCTTTCTGGTGTTCTTGAAGCCTTACCTTAAGGGTGCGGCCTGTTTCCCTTTTATATTTCTTTCCGCAGCTGCACGGATATAGCGTAGACATAGTCTTTAGTCATGTTCTCCTCTATGGGGCGGGGGTCTTAATCGGGAGAAATATCGGCGAAGTGTCGTCAAGCTTTTGAAGGTTGTTCTAATGTTATGTGGAACGCAGATCCTTTGTATTTTCTCTGATAACCCCTTCACATAAGGCAGGCAGACTGTTTTCTTCAGGCTTCATCTGCTTGAAGCCACTTTTAATTATTGATCTGAGATAGAAAACAACGACATTTTGAACGAGTTGTATATCATGAATGTCATGTATATGAAAATCTCGAACTGACAAGGCTATTCAAGAAAATGATTCGCGTTCTAAGGCTAATATTTTGGTAGAATCTTGCGATATTGAAAAACAAAATACCCACAGCCCAACCAATCTCTTATTCATTTTTATAACAGATCAATACAGATCAATACAGATCAATACAGCGAGTTATTTGAAGTTCTTAGAGCTTAATCAATTCTACATTCTGAATTGTTTATGGTTTATTTTGTTTTTACGGCATATCAACCTCAATGGGTTATTTAATGTCGGCAAGACATTTAGGATAGGTTCGTATGAATAGGATATATATTCATTGACGTATTTTTGTAAAGAGGGTTTTTGTCGAGAGTTAAACCTATTACTGGTAATATTTTTCTAAAAATGCATTGCTGGTAATTTTTATTTTTTTTTTAAAAAGCATTGCTAGTATTTTTTCAATAAAAATCCATTTTTATATATTCATAGTGTTTTGGGGGTTAGCTATTTGCCAATATCACCCCCGGTCAGGTTGGACATGGCAATAACAGCAATTAAGAGGTAGTTCCAAGCTCTTCAAAACCACCCGATCAGAGGCTTTGATATTGTATGTAATTTATCGTCTTACCCAGAACGCGATTGTAGTTTATCGTCTTACCCAGGACGGTCTCCAATTTTAATTTTCATATTTGGCTGTTCTTTTCTAACAAAAAGAAAACCTTACGGAAAACACTATGGAAACTACCAGAAAACATTACGGAAACTACCGGAAGACATTACAGAAACTCCCGGAAGACATTACGGAAACTACCGGAAGACATTACGGAAACTACCAAGAAGGAACATTAATAAAAGACAAACTTCTTTCTAGCAACAATATTCATCAAGCCTATATTTAATGGAGGAAAGACCCCAACATTAACAGACAATGTAACATCCCGCAATTCGACATATTTATCAGGCAATTAAAATACACTGATACTGGGATGGCCAAAGACGCATCCCAAAAGCAAGGCAGAGACAACAGGATTTCTTTGGTAACAAAGTATGGAGTACTGAACTGCTATTTGACATCTTTCCTTCTTTACGGCAATCAATGTTGGATGGTCTCCTCAAAAATGAAAAGACTCGAAGCTACGGAGGTATGGTTCTACAGAAGGATGCTAAGGATATCATGGATGCTATGGATATCATCGATCATACTTTCCCTGTTTTTTATTTACTCATAGCTGGAACTCTAACAAGTGCTACCACCCCAAGTTAGGGCGTACCTGGGAACACCAGCAATTAAGAGATGGTTCCATGCTCCTCAAAACCTCCTGATCAGAGGTTTTGCTGCCGGATGTAGTTTATGTCCAGGACAATCTGAATTCTCATGATGGATTCAGTGTACGAGGTCTGTCTGAAAAGAAACGTAACTGATGTCACAATTTATTTCAATTCCAAGTAACATGGTTTTCTCTTGAAACCATCCCCCAGAGTCTAATGTATTTTTGGATACTTCTCTGTCCCGCTTCTATGTACTGCTGGAAGGATTCTTCTTGGATGTCTTTCAGCTTCGTGGTTATGGCACACTTGATGGTCTTCATGCCTTTAAAACGGCCCCCCTTGATAGGATCCTTGATTTTAAAGAAAAGAAGAAAGTCAGTCAGAGTCAGATCAAGTGAATAGAGAGGTTGTTCCTGTACAGCGATGTTTTTCTCGGACAGGGACTGCTGGATACTCAGGACGTTGTGATCAGGTGCATTGAATTGGTGAAGCCGCCAAGATTTTCCTGTCACAAAAGCATGTAAACAATGCAATGATTGTAGAAAGGTAAGATTACAGTTATGTAGTCCCAATGTATCATGCGTTCTGGGTAAGTCGTTAAACTACATCTAGCAGCAAGGCCTCTGATCAGGACGTTTTCAGGAGCGTAGAACCACTTTTTAATTGCTGGTGTTCCAAGGTCCACCCTGACCCAGGGTCGTAGCACTTGTTAAGTTTCCCAGCTATGGGCAAATAGTTAACTATTACCAGCAAAAATTTGAAAAAAATTATTACCAGCAATACAATTTTGAAGGAAAAATATTACCAGAAACAGATTTTTGATAAAACAAAATATTACCAGCAATAAAAAAATGTAAGCATTAAATAACCCATTGAGGTTGATATGACGTAAAACAAACCAAACCAAATCAATGTATCATGTTAGATGATAACACAATCTGCTTATTCGCCCATGGCTCCCACAGCAAAACCAGTCCCGTTACTTTTCAGATACCCGCCCATGTTCCATCACTACTCTCATTCCAATTACAGATCATAATTTCTGTTTTTGGAAAGGACAAATTATCTGAACTATTGTTTTAATGCCAACAAAGATGAACATACTCGTCTAGAAATATATGTCTTATAAATTTCGTATAACGCTCATAGTTGCTGGTTAGTAAGACTTAATAAAACATTGGAAACAAATGGTTGATTAAAGAAGGATTTAATCACATGAGAATATGGAGTGAGAATACAATAGTTCAATACGACAAGACAACGACTGAAACATGCCTTTGCACCCCAATTTTTACCGCTGTCCAGACATTCTGCTCATACAGGATGGACGGTTACAAGTTTCAATAACAGTTTTAGAGATTGTTTTTCAGTCACTTATGTGCCATGCGTGATGCACTCATATTTCGATACATGACTGACGAGGCAGATTTTTCCCCGCAGTAGGTTCCATTTCTTTCTGCGGTAGACTAGTTGCCATCCAACGCTACAGAACCCAGTCTGTCCAGCTATTTAACCATAGCTGGGGAGAGAAGTGGATTCATGGCTTTCCAAGGGTATTAGCACGTCAGTCAGTCACTTATGTGATATGTGTGATACACGCTTAGGCGATCATGTATCTTTCGATACATGACTGTCGAGGCAGATTTTACCCCGCAGTAGGTTGCTAATTCTTTCTGCGGTAGACCAGTTGCCATCCAAGTCTATAGAACCCAGTCTGTCCTGCTATTTACCCATAGCTGGGTGTGGGGAGAGAAGAAGAGCATTCATACCTTTCCAAAGGGTGTTAGCTCGTAAGTGAATGTAATGGATTCGACTGGAATTCGAACTCGGCTCTCCGATTCCTCAAACCGCGCCACTATCTATTACTCCATTACTTGTTGATATTGGATGTAAGCCGGTGGAGTGAATGGTTTATCAGCTGAACCGTCATGTTGCAAATGAGGAAAGTCGTTTGAAAAAATAAGTTAGCAAAAAATAGCAGAAACAAATTAAAATTCTTATACAATCCTTTTTATATCGATGAAACAGTATTAATAAGGTCGAAGTGTTATTTTTAGCAAGTATTTTAGAGTCAGTTAAAAATCCAATGAAATAA